TACCAACTGTAAATATGTTCAAACATTTTTTGTTCTTAAGGGGGGAAGTAAGAAGGAGAAGGGGTGGTATTATTTTACCCCTAAGGTGTCAAATAAGGAGAATATGAGTTTATTTACAACGGGTCCTTCATCCATTAAAGGATGGAAGGAAAAAATTTTCTTCGTTGATGACACTGAGTGGGAGAGGGGATGCCGAGGTAGAATTTTTGTCATCTTGGAAGGCTAAGAAAGCCAACCAAAATAAGTATAGTTTGAATGAGGATGAGGAAGAAGAGGTGGGGAAGTTGGTGAGGGAGGGGGGTGATCTAGTAAATATCATGTACCTCACCAGCTCGGATTGCATAGAGACTGCTAAGCTCTATAGGCCAAGCTCTTTAAGTGAAGGTGTGTTTATTTTTTGTATTGTGGTGCTTGGTGTTAAATATGGATTTATGTTGTTGACATTTTTTGTTTTTGTTGTTTTACAGCTGAGATGGATAAGTTTTTGAGTGCTGCTGGGGGGGTGGCTATTCCCAAGAAGCCGAGGAAGAAGTCAAGGACTTCAACTACGAAGGTGAATGAGGGAGGAGCTGGGAGGAAGTTGGTGCCTAGCACCTCAGCTGGAGTTCAGGAAGTGCAATCGAGGCAAGATCCGAAAAGGAAAGGGGGTGAGGAGGTAAGGGCACTTTAGAAGAAAAAGAAAAAGGTGGTGGAACAAGAGGTTAGGGGGGACGAGGTAATGGAGTTCGTACCTCGGCTTCCTCCTATTGAGCTTGATCCTGAGCTTAGGGAGACTGAGGTTGAGGAGGCTGAGGTTAGGGCCCTTGGTAAAGGGAAAGGACTCGTTCCCCCTCTTTCCTTTTAAAGCAGCCTTGTTGATGCGAAAAACGCAACGGGGGCAAAAAGGTTTATTAATGCAACCTTCCCCGAAGTGGACAAGCGTCAGGCTAAAGAAGAGGTACTGAGGTATACTAGGGCGACAGTGGTTAAGCACGCTCTAGAGGTATGTTAAGTTAGTTTATGTGTGCTTGTTGTTTGTTTGTTGTTGTTCTTTTCTTTTTTCTTTTTTCTTCTTTTTTTTTCTTTTTTTTTTTTTACTTCTGCTGGAATTGTAGAGTGCAAGATAGGTGAATGCTCTAGCCTAGGAGTTTATAGAGAGTGTGAAGAAGCGCACTCTCTTGCAGAGGTAGTGTGAGCAACTGCAAAAAGAGAAGGATGAGCTGGAGAAGCAGAATAAGGAGATGCGAGAGTCGTTAGATGAGGTGGTACCAGCAGTGAAACAGCTTGAGGAGGAGAAAGATTCTCTGAGCACTAAGCTCGTTTTTGAAGAGAGAAAAAGGAAGATCTCTAAAAGTGAGCGCAATGCTCAAGAAAAGGAAATAAAAAAGATGAAAGATGTTGTGGTTGAGCTGAAGAAGAATGTGGAGCTATTGGTACACAATGCAATGGAGGAGCATATTGTAGATTTCCTAAGGTCTGGGACTTTTGAGAATATAGTCAACCTATACTGGCTACCCACTATAATTTTGGCCTTCATAGACTGTAGAAAGAAAGTGAAGTCGCAATATCCCGAAGTAGATGTTACGAGTGTCACCTTTGGTGAACAAGAAGAAGAGATGGAGGAGAATGGTGAAAACATGTCTGCTGACTTCCGGTCGAAAATTAAGCTGAGGTGGGATCACAACGCACAAGGTCGTACAATCTTTCTCCAAACTTCAACTTCGAGTTCATTGCAGTTGAAGAAGAGGTTGCAGAGGTAGAGGATATAGAAGAAGGGAATCAACCACCTCATCCAGTGGAAGTGCATACGATTCCTTCAGAAGAGAACCCGCCAGCTCAACTAGAAGTAGGATTGCCACCTCTTTCTACTGAGGAACAGCCACCTCCGAAGTAGTTAGGGTGTTCCTTGTTTTTTTGTTATGTTAATATTAGAACAATTTATGGTTTGAACAGTTTGTAATGTTTTTTATTCAATTTTAATGAAATTTTTTTAAAATTATATGTAATACTTGTTTGGTGTTTGATTTGTTTTAGATTAATCATAAGAACTGAGATGAAGTAAATCACTTCGAATGTGAATTGAGATGAAGTAAATCACTTCAAATGTAAAGTGAAATTCATTAATAAAAGTGAAGTCCAAGGAATAAATTCCAGACAGATTGACCTTGGAGATACAGACTAAGAGATGAAATGGATCTCAAAATGAAGAAGTAATAATTATAAAAAAGAATAAGACAAAGATCACTTGAAAGAAGTATATCAAGGGTAAATTTTCTTCAAGTTATTAGTATTCCAAACTCTAGGAACTCTTTTTCCTTCAGTGTTTTGGAGGATATAGGCACCAGGATGTGGCACTTTGGCCACTGTGTAAAGACCATCCCAGTTCGGCGCTAATTTACCAAAACGAGTTTCAAACCCTGTTAAACCAGCCTTCCTGAGAATAAGGTCTCCTACTTTGAATGTTCGAGGGCGGACTCATTTGTTGTAGAAGTTCCCTAATTTCTACTTGTATACTAGAGTTCGAAGTCATGCTTCTTCTCTGACTTCGATAAGTAGATCAAGGTTCTCCCGTAGCAGTTGTCCATTTCGTCCTTCATAGAAATGGGTAACCCTAAAGCTTGGGACTCCTATTTCAATAGGAATGACTATTTCAGTACCAAAAGCTAGGTAGTAAGGTGTTTCACCTATTTCATTAAGTTATAGTTTTTAGAATATGCTTTATATGTTGTGCATATTTGATCTAGGGTAAAGCCGTAGAAGAGAAAATAAAATAGCATGAAAGTAACTTGGGTTGAAAATAGTACCTGTGGCAGTTCGGCTCGTAGTTCTATATGCCTAGAGGACGTTGTTGAGCTCATTTACCCACTTGGCCTTGTGCTACTCCAACCTTGGCTTTATTCCGTCTAAGATAGCTTTATTGACAGATTCCACCATACCATTGGATTCTGGATGGTACACCGAGGTAAACTGTAGTTTGATCTCGTAACTAAAGCAGAAATCTCTAAATGAAGAGCAATTAAATTGAGTACCATTGTCAGCCACAATCTGGTTCGGGATTCCATATCTATAGATGATTGAGCTGAAAACAAAGTCTTCAACCTTTCCAGAAGTGAGACTGGATAATGGTCAAGCTTCAACCTATTTAGTAAAATAGTCAACACCAACGATCAGATGGGTTACACCTCCAACCCCTTTCATGAATAAGCCTAAAAGATTAAGTCCCCACTGAGCAAATGGCCACGGTGCCACCAAGTTGGTGAGCTCTTCCGCCGGTTTGTGAGTTAAGTGTGCGAAGAATTGGCACTTCAAGCACCTTTATACAGAATGAGTAGCATCCTTATACATATTCGATCAGTAATATCCTTGTCTGAAGACTTTATGAGCCAAGGTTCTAGCACCAATGTGGCTTCCACGTACACCTTCATGCACTTCCCGAAGTACGTATTCAGTTTCATAAAGATTCAAGCGTTGTAGGAGAGGGAATGAGAAAGATCTCTTATAGAGGACCCCACCAATGAGTGTGTACCGAGACGCTTTCTTCCTCAACCTCATCTCTTCTTGTTTATTTGCAAGCACTGACCCATCTCGTAAAAAAGAGCCAATTGGATCTGTCCAGCTCGGTATATTCGGGTCTATGCTGATCTCCATCATTTTTAGCTTCATGAAGCTCAGCTCATGTAAAACTTCAACGAAAACTAATCTGGAGCTTAAGGAGCTATTAGAGGCGAACTTAGAAAGTGAATCTACCTATTCATTCTTAGTTCGAGGAATTTTGCTCAAACAAAATTTCTAGAATTTGCATTTCAGCTCGGCCACCAGGGCTATATACTTCATCATAACAGAATCAATTACCTCACAGACTGAGTTGATTTGATTAATCACGAGCTGTGAATCATTGTATACTTGTATTGCCATGACTTTCAGTTCTAATGTTAGTTGCAAGTCAAGGAGCAGAGCTTCATATTCAGCCATGTTGTTAGTTGCATCAAAATTAAATTTCAAAGCATGCTCACTTCGATATTCATCTAGGCCAACTAGGAAAGCACCAGCTTTTGAGCCTTTGTTACT